TTCCACCCTGTCCAGTAGTGGCGGATATGGGCGAGCCTCAGGATTTAAATGATCATTGTTCCAAAGTAAGTCTGATTTTTCATAATTATCAGTTGATAGTTATTATGAAATGCTATAATTGTTTTCCTAATGTTTCCTATTTTAAAAATTTGAATAATTTTATATTATACACATCTTTCCTTTTTTGTTAATTATAATCTCTGGTTTATTGATCTTAACTTAAAGTAGAATCAGGCATTATTAACATCATTTAACATCTCAAGATTTTTGTCTTGAAACTCAAAACTTCCTTGGATTTGTACTGCATTTAAAATTTTGTTTTGGTTGTATTATTTTCCTTATTAATCTGTAGAATTTTCATTTTTTTTGCATTTGAACTTATTTCACATTTACTCATTTTTAGTAATGCATTGACATTTAAGGTCATTTTATTACTTTATACTTTTACTTTTTCAGCTTCTTTCTTTCTCTTTACTTTTTCTTCTCCTTCCTTCCTTCTTTTCTCTCTTTCTCTCTTTGTCTCTTTCCAGCTGATGGTTTTTGTTTAGCCCGTACTTTCAGGTTAGCCAATTGTGTGAGTAGCCTGTACATCATATGTTAATTTCTAGATTCCTTTTTGGGCCTGGTGATTCCAGAGTCCGAGAGTCTGCAGTATTCTTTTACCATTGATCTTTTAAACCATTTAGAGATAAAGCACAAAACATTCGTTATTGGACTGAATTCTTCATATTGGGATGAAAGAGTGAATGATGAAATTTAATACTCTTTTTAATTACCATGTGACCTCCATGGTTATTAAGCTTTATCAGGGATCCAAATAGCAGAGAAACAGTAATTCAATGGAATGTGGATTCTGATCAAGTAATTTGAAGTAAAATCTGCATCATCAGACACTGCAAATCCCTTATTCATGTTTCAATTTTATTTGGTAGGTTCCTTTTCATGGAGAGCTATTCACTATTCACTCTGTTTTATGTATTATTTATCTTCGTATAGAGAGTTCACTCCAGTCTGTATTATAATTTAAATTATTCACTATTTATTTATATGGAGGAAGCAGAGAATAGTGCTCATTGTTGTGAATTTTTGAAGCCTTGCTTCCTTGCCTAAATTTACCCCCCTACCAATTTTGTTCTGTGCAGCATGTATAATTACTTAACCTCTCATCTTTCATTTTCCACCTGTAAAGTTTGACTGGTAAATAGTAATACCTATCACAGGTAATTGTTGTATTTAGTAAGTTGGTACTTATAAGGGCTTATAATACTATTAGCTAAATAATGCTTGAAATTTGGCTTTTAATATTCTGTAGAGGAATAGGAAAATCTAAAATGTCATAAAGTTTTCATTATGGCTTCCGTATTAATTTTATTTTATATGAACTTCTTTTGTTTTATTTTTCATAGGGAGGCCCTAACTACCCAATTAACCCAAGATGTCACTAACATTTTGAATGCCATGTACTACATTGAAAAAATGTCTTAAGTCAGTCTTTCAAAGTCAAAAATTGAATTAAGACTTTGGTAGTAAAAAAGCTTTTTGAATTAAAAAACACATTTAAGCTACTGAGCCCTTAGTGCTTTGCTGAAGGTGATTTTAACTTATTGTTTTGTCCATATTTTCCCAGAAACTGTTAGACTAACTTAAATTGGAATGGCATATTTTCCCACATTTAAAAGTTGCCAAGGGCCATCAGAGGACTGAACTGGAGTTTGTGCTCCCCAATGTGTTAATTTTCTATTCTTGAAATGGTAGAAACCATTGGTAGTGTTTTCTGGTTTTTTAAAAATAAGAACACTAGAGTTTTAAAACATATACTTAAAAGGGTCAAGTAGACTATTGTTATGCTAAGCAATAGAATGTCATTTGTATAGATAGTGATATCTAACAACCTTTAAAATAATATGTATTCTTAGGAAACAGAGAAGAACCATAGGCATCACTCTTGAGTAAACATTTTTAAAATGTTCTGGGAGGGTGTTTAAGAACATGACGCTGTGATAAGAGTCACTGAATTAACCAGCCCCTGACTTCAAGAAGTTCATAGAAAAACAACGTGCCACAGCTGTCATACATATATATGACCATCTTAGAAGGCAGAATATTATAAGAGACACAAGAAATGTAAATCACTGTGATTGGACTGAACAGAAATAGCTGCTTATTTCCCTTGTTGAAGGAGTCTTTCAAGAGTTGTGATTTTTTTTAGTGGTTTTAAAATGGAGATGTTGTCTCTGGGAGAATATGAATATAATAGGCATTCTTGGGAACAAAGGAACTTAAGTAAATGAGTACACAGAAAATCCCAAATGTTCCTGGACACAGGAAATAGTCTGTTTTGGTCCAATAGTCCTATGGCTCCTATAGGAAGTACTATGAGCTAAAGCAGGAAAAGTATTAAAAGAAAAATCTCCTGGGTAATTTGAGTACTTGACTAAGAAATTTTGATTCACCTCTAAAGTCATTTGAAAGCTATCAAAAGTGTGAAGCAATAGGAATAGAAGGTGTTTCTCAGGAAGATGGCTGCCAGGATTATCCTGTGAAGGATAAATGGAGTTGCGACAAGATGACAGTAAGAAGCTATTGCAATAATTCAGGAGAGCAGCAATATTTAAAATTCATTTAGGCAAATATTAAACTTGGAATGCATTAGAATACAGATATAATTATTTGTTTGAAGTTGGGAACATGGGAATGAAACATTCAAGAAAACTTGCTCTGTTAATTAGAACTAAAAAGGATAAAATACCCCAAGCTTGATTAAAGGACTACTGTGAATATGACAGATGAGTACCAACATTTAGCTAGTGAAATAAACATGTATTATAAAATAAATAGTCTAAATCATACTGGAGACTGTAAAAACAGGTGGATAGGCATAAAACATGATACTTAAAAAGGATGAAAAGAGTACAGATAGGAGAACCATGAACTCCTGAGACAAATATATAAATTCTGATAAAAGAAAAATTCAGAATACTTCCTCCTCTCAGAATTCACTTAATACAAATTCTTCCTCTTCAAAGATCTCCCTAACCTTCTATTATTGTTCTTTCTTAAGGAAAGTACATGAATTAGTTACTTTTATCCCTTGCTTCCTAAGAAGAAACCAACTTTCTAAGTTTTTCTTCCATTAGAGCCTTGAGATCCTGGATCCCTAGAGAGATCAGTTTTTTCTTAACAGAAACCTAAAAAAAATGGTTTCATGAACTAAGAACAAAGGATTTTAAAACTTAGTGTTGCTAACATGACTTGATTGTCACTTGGATTGTTATCTTTATTTTAAAATTTTGTAGAAAAAAATTTTTTGAAGGCATGAGGAAAGCACAATTATCATCACAGTAATTTCAGAAGTTAAATCTCCTACGAATGCCTTTAGCAAGAGTGAGAAATTTTGCCTTACACTTTAACCAAAATGAAGGGAAAAAATCAGATTGAAATAAAACTTTGCATGTTATTAATATAATTTGATTTTTGTACCTCGTACTTACGATTTGGGCCACATGATGTCGCTCTTTACCATGAAATTCTCTCAAATTCAAGGCAAAACTAACTCATCCGTTTTCACATTGGAAAGAGTCTCCATTCTGTTTTAGTACCCGGAGGTTGAACAATGGCGAACGCAAAAGGATAATAAAGAAGATAAGATTCGTCCAAATTTTCCTACGTGACGCTGGTTAGAACAAAACCCCAATATTCTGAAATGTACTCAAATCCAGTCGACCCGGGGAACCGGTCTCTACTGCTATTTTTTATAATTCTCGGAGCCTGGGAGACCAGGAGCGGCCAGATCCAATATTCGATCCTTGAGGAGGCTAAACACGGCACTTTCGTGGGTCGCATCGCACAAGACGTGGGGCTGGAGCTGGCGGAGCTGATGCCGCGCCTGTTCCGGGTGGCGTCCAAAGGGCGCGGGGACCTTCTGGAGGTAAACCTGCAGAATGGCATTTTGTTTGTGAATTCTCGGATCGACCGGGAGGAGCTGTGCGGGCGGAACGCGGAGTGCAGCATCCACCTGGAGGTGATCGTGGACAGGCCGCTGCAGGTGTTCCACGTGGAGGTGGAGGTGAAGGACATTAACGACAATCCGCCTGTGTTTCCCAGTTCACAAAAGAATCTGTTTATCGCGGAATCCAGGCCGCTTAAGTCTCGGTTTCCACTAGAGGGCGCCTCCGATGCAGATATCGGTGAGAACGCTCAGCTGACTTACACGCTGAGCCCCAATGAGTATTTCTCGCTGGACGTACCAACCACCGACCAACAGGTAAAACCTCTCGGGCTTGTATTACGCAAACCTTTAGACAGGGAAGAATCCCCGGAACTTCATTTAGTGCTCATGGCTACTGACAGAGGCAAACCTGAGCTGACTGGAACCGTTCAGTTACTTGTCAAAGTGCTGGACGCCAATGACAATGCTCCAGCTTTTGACAGAACACTCTATGGGGTGAAATTACCTGAAAATGTTCCCAATGGAACGTTGGTAATTAAACTTAACGCCTCAGATTTAGACGAAGGCTTGAATGGGGATATTGTTTTCTCATTCTCTAGTGACGTTTCTCCAGATATAAAATTTAAGTTCTACATAGACCCTGTAAGTGGGGAAATTATAGCAATAGGAAATATCGATTTTGAAGAAAGTAAAGCCTACAAAATTCGAGTAGAGGCAATCGATAAAGGCTATCTACCACTGGCTGGTCACTGTACAGTTCTCGTGGAAGTCGTGGACGCTAATGACAATGCTCCAGAGTTGACGGTCACTTCCCTGTCGCTTCCTGTCTCAGAGGATGCTCAGCCAGGCACAGTCATCACCTTGATTAACGTGTCTGACCGAGATTCTGGAACCAATGGACAGGTGACCTGTTCCCTGACGCCTCAGGTCCCCTTCAAGTTGGTGTCTACCTTCAAGAATTACTATTCGCTGGTGCTAGACAGCGCCTTGGACCGCGAGAGCGTGGCCAACTATGAGCTGGTGGTGACCGCGAGGGACGGGGGCTCGCCTTCGCTGTCGGCCACGGCCAGCGTGTCTGTGGACGTGGCCGACGTGAACGACAACGCGCCCACGTTCGCGCAGCCCGAGTACACGGTGTTCGTGAAGGAGAACAACCCGCCCGGCTGCCACATCTTCACCGTGTCGGCGCGGGACGCGGACGCGCAGGAGAACGCGCTGGTGTCGTACTCGCTGGTGGAGCGGCGGGTGGGCGAGCGAGCGCTGTCGAGCTACGTGTCTGTGCACGCGGAGAGCGGCAAGGTGTACGCGCTGCAGCCGCTGGACCACGAGGAGCTGGAGCTGCTGCAGTTCCAGGTGAGCGCGCGCGACGCGGGCGTGCCGCCTCTGGGCAGCAACGTGACGCTGCAGGTGTTCGTGCTGGACGAGAACGACAATGCGCCTGCGCTGCTGCCACCCGGGCCTGGGGGCGGGGCCGGCGCGGTGAGCCAGCTGGTGGCGCGGTCGGTGGGCGCGGGCCACGTGGTGGCGAAGGTGCGCGCGGTGGACGCGGACTCGGGCTACAACGCGTGGCTGTCGTACGAGCTGCAGGCGGCGGCGGGGGCCGCGCGCAGCCCGTTCCGCGTGGGGCTGTACACGGGCGAGATCAGCACGACGCGCGCCCTGGACGAGGCGGACGCGCCACGCCAGCGCCTGCTGGTGCTGGTGAAGGACCACGGCGAGCCGGCGCTGACGGCCACGGCCACCGTGCTGCTGTCGCTGGAGGACAGCGGCCAGGCGCCCAAGGCCTCTTCGCGGGCGTCGACGGGCGCCGCTGGAGCGGAAGCGGCTCTGGTGGATGTGAACGTGTACCTGATCGTCGCCATCTGCGCGGTGTCCAGCCTGTTTGTGCTCACGCTGCTGCTGTACACGGCGCTGCGGTGCTCGGCGCCGCCCAGCGAGGGCGCGTGCGGGCCCGGGAAGCCCAGGCTGGTGTGCTCCAGCGCGGTGGGGAGCTGGTCTTACTCGCAGCAGAGGCGACAGAGAGTGTGCTCTGGGGAAGGACCACCCAAGACCGACCTCATGGCCTTCAGTCCCAGTGTTCCTCCGTTTCCACATTCCCAGGATGTAGGCAAACAGGAAGATTTAAATATGGATCATTGCCCAGAAGTAAGTCCATTTATATTTATATGAAAAATTCTTTAAGGGGAAAATTCATAATTAATTTAAAAGTATTTTACATTCATTTTTGTTTTAATAATACATAGCACATTTTCACAGTTTAATATTCAAACCTTATCGTGGTTTAAAAAGTTTAAAATTAATCGTTTTCCCCCAATTTTATTTGAGATCTAGTTGGTGTATAACCTGCGTATGTTAAAGGTGTAAAACGAGTTCATTTGATATACGTATATATGGCGAATTTAGTCGCTGTTTCTCAGTGCCAGCAGACTTTCTTAACCATTCTCCACATAATGGATTTCTACTCAAATTCAAATTTTCCTTGGATAAATTTCTTCTTACTGAACACGATTTAATCCTTTGTAATACCTAATTTTTTGAATACTAACGACACCCAGTCTATATATATTCCACCAAATAGCATTTATTTTTCATAATTATACATTGTATGTACTTTTAACATTACTTCATAAGCCATGCTTTGAAAATATTGAAATATTATCTGGTGATTACTTTTACACACTTTAAGATCAGATTTCAACCATTTTATTTTCTTCTCTCTCTTAGGGTCTGGTATATAGATATACAGATATATCTATAATTATATATACTATGTATGTATAGTGTTTATTGGTATCTTAAGCAGTTTAGTAATAAAGTACAGAATAATAATTTCTTTTCAAAATTTGAACGTTCTCATTTTCTTCCCATATTTATTATACACCAGATAAAAATAAAGTGAAGAGCAAATAAATATTTAAAACTCCTTTAAATACAGTATCAAATAGAACACTTTACTATTTCTAGTTATATGCTTTACTATCAGATAATCTTTTACAGTTATGTCAATAATTTAAGATTTTTTGAGGATCTAAGTATAGTAAATAATTTCTTTTAGACTGCTAAAAATCTGCTTAACTCTAATGATTAATGGAGCAAAATACTATCAGCCCTTTGTAGATGAGTTGGAATATTATGGGAAAATATTTCACATTTAATAATATTTTATTATGACTTTGAATAATATTTTGACTAGGAAAACTACATATTAATTTCATTCTTGGGGGAGGGTATAGCTTAGTGGTAGATTGCCTTGGTTCAATCCCCAGTACCTCCATTAAAATAAATAAATCAATAAATAAAGCTAATTACCCCCCAAATACAAAAAACAAAAAAGCAAAAATAATTTCATTCTTGCTGTCCAAATGTTTAATTTATAAGGCTTTGTTACACAGATATGCAGGATAATTAGGACTCTAGTTCAGATAAATATTTTTAGTATTGCAGAGTAAAACTTTCAAAGTCCAAGAAAGTTTATTATTTTGCTGTTTAATCTTTTCTTCTTTTTTTTTTGCTCCTCTTGTCTTTTAAAAAAAATTTTGCTTCTTATAACTGTTTGACCTGCCTTGTTATTAGATAATCATAGATTTTGAACATCTTTCTTTGGAGAGAATGGTGGAACTTGATGGAATTGAAGGGTTTCTGGGATTCTCAATTCTAATAGTTTGTTTTGAACATACTTCTTAATCTTTTTGTCAGTTATGACCATCAGTGTAATAATTCATTGTCACATGTTATTTCCTTTGCTCAGCTGTAAGTAATCTGAAAGCAATATCCTCTTGTGGCTTATTTTACATTTATCACAATGCCTTTGGTGCCTAAACTTTATTTCATTATTAAAAGCTTGTTATATAAAAAAGAATTTTAAAAAATTCCTTAACCTTAATGGCTGTGTATTGTTATATATGCTTATCTTTATTGTACTGTTTGAATTGGATGTGGAGTTTTTCCCTTGTGAAAGTGATGGTACTCTTAGATTTCCTATCCTGTCTATGCCTACCTGATTCTCAAGTATAACTTTAATTACTCAATTCTCCTTCTAAATGTTTGTTTTTTTAAATTTTCTTACTTTAGAAACAAAGACTTTTTCTATCATCACCATTTATTTGACAACTCTCATCATTTCAATCATTTTAATTCTGTGTTCCTCCAACTCTTTAAATGATATTTGAATTTCATTTTGGGGGTGGGCTTATCACAAAAAGAGAACCAAAATCTATATTTTGTATTTTAATGCTTTTCACTGTTCTATCTATGGTAATGATCTAGCTGTTAAGTATTTCTTAAACTGAAAGGTACCACAACTCAGTTATTAAATACTGTGGGCTCTGAAACTTCTTATATTAAAACCTCACCTCCACCAATTTTTCTTCACATAGCCTTTGATAAAGCATTTATTATTTCAGTTCCTTGGTTTCGGGTCTTTTGCATGATCAATATGAATTCTATTGTATATAGTATCTTTTGTGAAGTTATTTTTGAGTAAACCTAGAATGCCTGAATATTTTGAATTTTTTGTGATAGAATAAAAAATTCATCTAAAAGTCAGTTTTTACAGATTTTGGAAAGTCCTATTAGCACCATGGATATGGATAACTTTTTTAGCTCTATAACACTATTTAGATAAAGTTTCCTCAGGGAAATTCTAGATTATCTTGTGATGACAGTGACTTTTTTTCCCCATACTTATGAGTTCAGATCATTTAGAGGTCTGAGTAGGTGTTTGAAATCTTTGTTCCTTTCTATTAATAGTGTTTTCTCTTCCTTAAAAAGAAGTACGCAATATGTTTTGATGATGATTTAAAGGTTAATAGTAGTTAATTCCTACTAACCATGGAAGTAGACCATTTGTATAGAGAGTGTATGGAATAACTATAAATATATTGCTGTCAGTCTTTATTAAACATTAGTAAAACATGAGTAGGACCTTTAGAGCTTCCAAGACCATGTCAGCATGACAGGAACAAATGAATTATCTAAACCCAGTGTCTGACATTAAAAAGTTAGAGAAAATACAGAAACAGACTCAAGACATAGAAAACAAACTTATGGTTACCAGGGGGTTGGAAGGGATAAACTGGGAGTTTGCAATTTGCAGATACTAATTACTATATATGGAATAGATAGACGACAAATTTCTACTGTATAGCACAGGGAACTATATTCAGTATCTTGTAGCAACTTATAATGAAAAAGAATAGGAAAAGGAATTTATGTATGTATATGTATGACTGAAACATTGTGCCATAATCAGAAATTGATATAACATTATAAACTGACTATACTTCAATTTGAAAGTTTGAGATGAAATAAATATATGAGTCATACAACAAAAGAGAAGATATTATAATAGGCATACAAGCAAGGCTGGGGTTTAAAGGAAAATCACTCTCTATTTGCCTTTTTGAAGGAACACTTGAAGGGGCCATGGTGTTTCAATGGTTTCTAAATGGGTTAAGTTTCTCATGAGAAAATATTGAGAATAATGAACACTTGTGTGAAGGAGAAAAGTTAAGCAAACTTGAAGACATAAAAAGCCTCAGTGTGACTGGAAACGTGGAATAGTACACTGTGGTTAAAACATAGGGGTCACATAAAATTAAGGCAGAAAATATGATATGAAAATATCTCTTGATTCTGGACTGTCAGTTTGAGTAGTAGATTAAGGAATTTGGATTATTCATAAGTAAATTGGGAACTGTCAAAAGTTTTTGAGCAAAAGAAGTCAACATGGTGTTTCCAGAAGATTGGATGGAAAGGCAATCTGTGAAGCTACTGCAATGATCAAGGATAGCAACAATTAGTTAAAAATGTTTCTTAGGCAGGTAGCAGTAAGAATGTGATAGAAAGATAGATATACAGACGCATCAACGGCACCATAAACTGTGATAATTTGCCTTTACTCTTGAGAAGCACTAAAATCTAGATGTAATTAATCTACTTGCAGTTGGGATTAGAGTAGAATTCACAAGTGAGCTTTCCTTGTTAAATAGATGCTAAGAACAAAGAATCCCAAGCATAACTTTAAAATTAGAAATGTCCTAATTATTGAGGATGAACCAAATGAAATTAAAATGTATTATGAAAAGACATAATGTAAACTTTATTAGGGGTTGTGAAAAAGAGTTATTCACAAATATTAAGGCTTGGAAAATGGAACTATATAGATATAGGAAAGCAACACATTTCTGGAAAAAATTATAAATTATAATTAAGAGAAAAATAAAGAATAGTTTCTCCTTACACAATACATTAAATCAAATTCATACTTTTCTTAAAATATTTTAAATATATTCAATTCATAAAATTACTTAAGAAAATACCTCAATTTATTGTTCAATTTTATAGGTACTTTTTTTTCCCTAGACATGAGCAAGCTCCTTTTTCATCAGTAGATTTCTGTCCTTGCAGAGACCCCAGGGTTGGTGAGTCATTGAATTCTTCTACACAGGATACTAAGTCTACTGATGTGGGAGATCCTGACTTACAGAATAAAAGAATTTTCCAATTTAAAATTCCTGGTTATTTAACTTATCATTTTTATTACCACTTCATTTCTGTGATTATTTAAAAATTGTTTGAAAAGTTTTCTCAGGTGACAGAAAGCTACAATTTTCGTTTATACTAAACATTTAGGGCTCTTAGTTTGGTAGAAGGCCTCCAACAAGACAAATGTGGTTCTCAATTTCATCAATGATTAAGAAAACAATTCACAAAATGAAATAAAACTTTGCAGGATAATAGTGGAATGTTTATTCATGGAATATGTACTTACTTTTTGAGCCACCTGATGTCACTCTCGGCCTAGAAATTCTCTGATTCAAGACGACAGCCATCTTTTTGGCTTTAGAAAGACACTCCAGCCTTTCATAGTTTCCTAATGCAGAACAATGACGAACACAGCAGGATGGAACTGAAGGGATTAGAAGATTTCCCTTAGTTTTGAAATATTTTTTGCTAACCAGAAAAAAGCTCGAGTATTTGAAATGCTGTACTCAAGTCGGGGCGACCAAGGGGACCGGGATCTACTACTACTGTTTATCATTCTCGCAGCTTGGGAGACAGGGAGCGGCCAGGTCCGCTACTCAGTCCCGGAGGAGGCCAAACATGGCACCTTCGTGGGCCACATCGCCCAGGACCTAAGGCTGGAGCTGCAGGAGCTGGTGCCCCGCTTGTTTCATCTGGATCCCAAAGGCCACGGGGACCTTCTAGAGGTAAATCTGCAGAATGGCATTTTGTTTGTGAATTCTCGGATCGACCGGGAGGAGCTGTGCGGGCGGAACGCGGAGTGCAGCATCCACCTGGAGGTGATCGTGGACAGGCCGCTGCAGGTGTTCCACGTGGAGGTGGAGGTGAAGGACATTAACGACAATCCGCCTGTGTTTCCCAGTTCACAAAAGAATCTGTTTATCGCGGAATCCAGGCCGCTTAAGTCTCGGTTTCCACTAGAGGGCGCCTCCGATGCAGATATCGGTGAGAACGCTCAGCTGACTTACACGCTGAGCCCCAATGAGTATTTCTCGCTGGACGTACCAACCACCGACCAACAGGTAAAACCTCTCGGGCTTGTATTATGCAAACCTTTAGACAGGGAAGAATCCCCGGAACTTCATTTAGTGCTCATGGCTACTGACAGAGGCAAACCTGAGCTGACTGGAACCGTTCAGTTACTTGTCAAAGTGCTGGACGCCAATGACAATGCTCCAGCTTTTGACAGAACACTCTATGGGGTGAAATTACCTGAAAATGTTCCCAATGGAACGTTGGTAATTAAACTTAACGCCTCAGATTTAGACGAAGGCTTGAATGGGGATATTGTTTACTCATTCTCTAGTGACGTTTCTCCAGATATAAAATTTAAGTTCTACATAGACCCCGTAAGTGGGGAAATTATAGCAATAGGAAATATCGATTTTGAAGAAAGTAAAGCCTACAAAATTCGAGTAGAGGCAATCGATAAAGGCTATCTACCACTGGCTGGTCACTGTACAGTTCTCGTGGAAGTCGTGGACGCTAATGACAA